CTCATTTATATTAATCGATGTTCTATGATAAAAATAAACAAACAGAAATAAAATAAAAATAAAAATAATAATAAAAAAAATAAAAAATAAAAAAAATGAAAATCTATCTAAGCCCGGATATCATGTCACGGGAAACCGTGACAGTATTATCTTATTTGATGGTGTTAATAAAGACATACCTGCTGTTAAAACAGTGTTAACGGATACCCCTGTTGTTCCTGTACCATGTAGTCTAAAATTTTTGAATTCTACCGGGTTGGTGAAAGTAACTGAACAGTGACCTTTTTTTAATTACTATGATTATCATTTTAACGTTCAGTAATCATTAAAAATTGTAATTTTTTAATTTAACGGTAAAATCATAGTCATAGTGATTAATATTCAGTTACTTTTCACCAACCTGGTATAATTTTTGAATTAAATAAAAATTTTAATTTTATAATCTAATAATCTTGTCAATATAGTTATCATTTTTAGCTTTTTACTAATTTTACTATCGATTGTTCAAAGCAATATCATCTAAAACATACTATTTCACGAAGTTATGGTACACCACTATATCCTTGTGACTATAATTATACTCAAAATTATCTAAACTATAGTGTTCACAATAATAGATTTAGATACACTTTTAATATGAATGCTTTCTTTAACGAGAGTGCAAACTTAGGTTTATCGAACATTATTCTTTCAATAAGTTCTACGAATCCAGACCCGTATAGTAATGTAGTGATGCAAGCATATGATTCAGGTAAGTTTGATTCTATTATCTTGAATAAATTTGTGATTTGTAATTAAATAATCGATATCATTAGAACATGTACCACTTAATACCCCCCGAACTCTTCTTGATGAAACTATTGAATGGAAGAATACTTATTATTTAACGAAGTTCAATAATTATACCGTAGTACGTTTGTATTTAATTAATAATGCATTATGCTTGTTATCTTTTGTTCATCATTTTTTAATTCGAAATATTAAATAATAAAGACATACGTGTGGAAATACGCTAGATATAGCTTAAAAAGATTAAATGATAATTGGATAAGCAGGCTTGGTATATCACAACCTGGTGACAATGTCACCTATATTCAATCCGACATTCTTAAGAAATATTTTCTTTATTCAATTTGAAGCTTCGTACTTTTTAACCTTGAAATTTTACATTAAAAAAAAAAATAGAGGTCGTTGGAATGAATCCAAATTCTTCATATTATGCGATTGTTAATATTTCTACGGAAAGTTTCACCTTGACAGAACAAAGGTAAATTATTTTCAAATAAGAATAAATAAAATTTATTGACATTACTAATCTATATATAATATAGAACTAAAACTGTAAGTATAAGTATAATAAAATTCAATTATTTACTTTTTTTTTTTTTTTTTTAACTTTTAAACTATAAATAGTATATATTCGCGTTGGGATCAGTTTTTAGTTTCTGGGGGCCAGAGTGGCCTTTTATCATATTATATTTGGTATATCATTTTTTTTTAGATTTATTTTAGATAAGGCCATGCAAACTTAATAATTCGGTTTTCATAACATAAAATTTTTAAAAGTGACCCGGCAACCAGGCTTTTAATTTTATATATAAAAAACATTGAAAATTTTTTATAGATTTTTTTTAAAAAACTCACCCGGATAATAAATATACTTACAGCTGTTTTCATAAATTCTGGGACATCTGGCAAAAAATTGGCCACCGAATATTTGCCGATTCGATAAGTTTGTGATTTCAGTATGATAACTGCCGAATCAAAAACTTATCAAATCAGCAAATATCCAGTCGGTCAATTTTTTGCCAGATGTCCCAAAATTTATGAAAACAGCTGTAAAATTTTTTGTAAGTTTTAACCCGGCCGGGTTATGAAAACCGAATCATTAAGTTTGTATGGCCTAATTATAATAATTTTTTTTTATTAATTTTTTCAATTGTTAAAATCTAGGAGCTGAAAAAGCAACAATATGGGGAGCACGAAAATTCTTCTTTTGTTGTCCTTATGTTAAGAAAAGAGTAGAAAAAAGCATTTCTCAGTTTGTTAACCTTGAAAAGATGACTCTTTGTATAAATTTTTACAACGATATAGTAATTTAGAACCTGAAAAATATAATATTTTATTTACTCTTTTAAGAAAAATTGAAATTTCAAAAAATCTCCCACCTCCAGAAAGAATGATTGAAAAATCATTAGATGAAGACGCTTCTGTAGATTTAGATATTCAGAGAGGTGAGCTTTTGGCTATACAGTCGGACCTCTCTATAGTCACCTCCTATATAAGCACATTTTCTTTATAAGCATATTTTTTAAAAAACGAACTATTATTGAATATAATAAATTTGATCTCTATAACTGTCACACTTCTCTACAATCACACATTTCGTATCCCAAGTGTGTGATTATAGAGAGGTTTGACTGTATTTTCAAAAAGAATCAGATTTTTGGAACAGAAATTATTATTTCTCGATGATTATTTGATTGAAAGCAAAGTGATAGAAGACATGAAAAAAGATAATAATTTTAAACTTGAGGTTGTTGATAATAATAACGATAGTTATATTTTAAAATTTAATTAGTGATGTGATCCATTGCCAAAGTTGTATTTTTTGTATATATTACTTTCAATAATTCAAGGCTATAATTTAAATATATATTTTTATATTACATATATTTTATTACATTCTGTACTTAAGAACAAATTACTATTAAACTTATAAAAACTACCTCTACATAAACGTAATCTCTTTATAAGCACAATTTTTAAAATGTTCTTAAAAAATGGGTAATTTTATAAAAGTCTAACTATATACAATCAACCCTTGATAAAATCATCAGCTTGGGAAACAAAATTTGTGATTATAAAATGTTGACTATATAAAAGTCTAATTTTTATATGTTTTATAATCGCTCGAGTTAAAAAATAGTGTGATTGTGACTATATCAAGAGTGACTATAACGAGGTCTGATGCAATAGCGAAATTCTAAAGATATTAGTAAAAGATCTTTATAAAAACTCTATTATCACTTCTTGGTTTTTCTAAAATTGAATTTAGGTTTGAATATATAAATGCATTATCATATTCCTTGTATAAATGTTTGCTTAAACTCATTAAGAATATATTATTGTAAACTTGACCCTAAAGAAGCAAATTTGCTAGCACTTTGTAAGAATACAATATTATCTTCATGGTAATAATCTTGAGGATGAATGAGTAAAAACATTTGCAAATAAAAACACTATTCTGACCTCCTTTGACATAATTTATAATTATTTGAGTTTGGAAGGTGTGAAGCACTTGCAAATGCACTTTGTAAAACTGTTTCCCTGAAGTCCTTGAGTCTTAATGGTAACAGAATTGACGATAATGAAGGCAAAGTATTGGCAGCGGTTCTTCTCAGAAATAATACTATAACCTTCTTAAGTCTTTATAATAATCACTTAGGTTAAAAGCAATACTAAAGGCTCTTTACGTGAATGCTTTTTAAATCATCTAAACATTGAACATAATATATTTATTTTTTTAGATAAAAAAGTAATCGCAGAGCTTCCTTAATAAAAATACTATGACTTCTTTAAGCCTTAGTATTACTTTAGATAGTAAGTCTTTGGCAGAAGCCTTAATAAAAACACTAGTCTAAAATATTTAAACCTTTTATAACAATCGGATCAGTTCTAAAGGAGCAGAAATATTAGCAGGAACTCTTTGCAAAAATATTAATTTGACTTCTTAACATTTTAGCGATAATCATATGGAGTCTTTGCCTTGAAAATGACCTTACGGGACTATGTAGATTTTATGAATAAAAATTAAAATTTCTAGCTATCCAGTAATCCAATCAATTCAAATAAATCTTTTTTTATTTTATAGAGCTTGGTAAGCTCTACAATATATAAAAAAAAAAAAGTTATTTGAATTGTATTATTAGATGGCTAGAAATTTTAATTTTTATTCATAAAATCTCGTAAGGTCATCTCCAAGGCAATAACTTTTAATAGTGCGAAAGCATAATCAGAAGCTCTTTATAAAAATAACGCTTTGACTTCCTTAGATCTTAACGGTAATATGTATGTATTTTTGTGTAGAGGCGTTATCATATACACTTTGCAATAACATCGCTTTAACTTGCTTAAATCTTTCTATCAATCTTCGTTTCAAGGAATAAAAGCATTAACAGATACTCTTTACAAGAACACCACTTTAACTAATTTAAACCTTTCTTGAGGGACAAATATTAGCAGATATTCTTTGCAAAAACACTACTTTAACCTCTTTAAATCTTTATAATAATCAACTTTGTTATAAAGGTTAGAATTGTTAGTAAAGCTCTTTATGTAAACACTACTTTAATTAATTCGAATATTTATGATAATCAACTTAGCTCTAAAGAACGTCAAACATTGGAAAAAATTATTTATAAAAATTATACCGGAATTTCATTACGCCTGTACTTAAAATTTTTAAACCATATAATTAATCTGTGAGACTAAATTTACATATATTGATTTATTAAAAAGTTATGACTTAAATTTAGATAATTATGATTATATTAAAATCGATTATTTTTAACTAAAATAATTTATAGTCAAAAATCTGCTAAAATGGCGCATGCCAACTCAATAAGTAAAATGGATGTTGTTACTTATATGGACTAGGGATTGAAAAAGATGAACATAAAGCATTCATTAACAAAAATCTGCCGGAATGGGCATGCTACCGCAATAAGTCAAATTGAATATTGTTATCAACATGGAATAGGGACTGAAAAGGACGAATATAAAGCATTCATTCATTACCAGAAAGCGACTGAAATAGGACTTGCTACCGCAATAAGTAAAATTGGATATTGTTATCAACTCGGAATAGGGGTTGAAAAGGATGAACATAAAGCATTTGTTCATTATCAAAAATCTGCTGAAATGGACAATTCTATTGCAATAGGCCAAATTGGATATTGCTATTGGAATGGGATTGGAGTATCAAGAGATAAAATTTACTATATACAGTTTTTCAGATTATATTTTACAATATATCATTCATCAATATTCAACTCATCGATATTCAACTCTTTCAATTCACTATCTGTTAAATAATAATAATTAATGATAAAGAATAAATTTTATTTAATATAACAATAAATATAGTTACCTTGAAAATACGATGTAGTATAACTAATAAATTTACTTTTATAAATAACATCAGGATATGTCTGTAAATGTGTACTTTTAATATTTTTTAATAATTCATGTTCTAATAAAATATTTTCATCATTCATCCATTCTGTAAGGATTTCACAGATGTTTATTGCTGATGGACGGTTTATTGGATCTCGTTCCCAACATTTCTTCATCAGACTAATATAACATTGCGGTGTGTTCTCAATAATTGTTGGTCGTAAATCATTACGACATATTTCAATTTGAAGTTGTGGTCCAAATTCTCGATTATAAGACGCAGGTTTTCCATATAAAATTTCCCACATAACTATGCCGAATGAATAAATATCTGATGCTGTTGAATAGTAACCTCTATTTAAAGCTTCTGGTGCTATATACGGCTAAATTCCATAAATTCCACGTCTTTCTGCGTTTAACGTTATATTTTTTGATATTGAAAGTCCCAAATCTGCAATATAAGCATTATGTAAAGAATCTTGTAGAATATTACCACTATGTAAATCTCGATGAATAAGTTCTTGAGAATGAATTATTTGAAGATCAGAAGCTATACAATGCAATAATGTTAATTTATCTTTCCATTTCATTTGTGTTACAGAGTGAAGATTTTGGCGTAAAGAACCATCTTTGGCATATTCTAAAACAAGAATATAATCTCCAGAATCATCTTTCGACATTCCATGACAATGTAAAAATGAATGGTGTTTAGAATTAATATCACAATACGCCTTTAGCTTTAATATTAAAATAGAATTATTAGTATGTATACTGTACATTATTAGAGAAAATAATGAACATTCAAATAAAAATAACCTCTTTTATAAACTCTTCACTTTGAGATTTTGATCCATGGAGTAATTTGAGTGCAACGTTTCTCCTAATATCATGCTTTTTATCTATCCATCTGGCACGAAATACTGTTGAAAATCTACCTTGTCCTATTTTTTTAATATCTGTAAATACTTTATAAGAAATCCATGGCAGTAGATATTTTCCTTCAACAAATAATTTTTTAATATCATAATCAATATTAGAATCTTCATTTGTCGATTCATCTATGGTTAAAAAAATATATTAGCAAGTAAATTTAAATTATATCAAAGTTAATTTTTAACTTACCTGACATCTTGTTTTTTGCCCTAGTTATTATTGGAAACTATGCATTTAAAATATTACGTATAATCGTGGCAAAAAAAAATTAAATAAATAAATTGCTTACATCTGATACCAATAGTCAGCCTTTTGTAAATCTCTCGAAGTCCCAATCCCATTTCGATAACAATAACCAAGTTGAGACATTCCATTAGTTTGTCCCATCTCAGCAGATTTTTGATAATGAAGAAACGTTTTATAATTATCCTTTTCAACGCCATATCCATTTTTATAGCAATGTCCAATTTGATTTATTGCTTTAGCATTTCCCATTTCGGCAGATTTTTGATAATGAATGAATGCCCTATGTTCATCCTTCTCAACTCCTATTCCATTTAGATAACAACCTGCAAGATTATATATTCCAATGGCATTTCCCATATTAGCAGATTTTTGATAATGATTGAATGCCTTATGTTCATCTTTTCCAACTCCTATGCCATTTTCATAGCAATATCCAAGATCATTTATTGCAGTAGCATTTCCCATCTCTGCAGATTTTTGATAATTAATAAATGCCTTATGTTCATCTTTTTCAGCTCCTATGCCATCTTTATAGCAATATCCAAGATTATTTATTACAGTAGATTTTTGATAATGGACAAATGCTTTATGTTCATCCTTTTCAATCCCTATTCCATCTTGATAGCAACGTCCAAGGTTATAAATTGCAGTAACATTTCCCATCTCTGCAGATTTTTGATAATTAATGAATGCCTTATGTCCATCTTTTTCAATGCCTATTCCATAATGATAGCAATGTCCAATTTGACTTATTGCAGCAGCATTTCCCATCTCGGCAAATTTTTGATAATAAATAAATGCTTTATGCTCATCCTTTTCAACTTCTATTCCTTGTTGATAATTGTATCTAAGATCGTAAGGGTCTGATATTTTTGATTTTTTATTGTGAAATAGATTATTATAAATCTTTTTCATTTTGGTTTTTGAATGTCAAAATACGAAATTTTTAACCTGATTTAAATCATTTAAACGTACAACTGTATTACTTACAGAGTTTTTATGCCACTATTTATGTGACACAACTTAGTTTTTTTTTTTTTTTTGCGATAAAAAATAATGAAAAGCGAAATAAAGAAAAATTAGTGCCTAAATCGACTAATTAAAAGTGCCAGAAATACAGTTTTACGTATAATTGGAGACG